TGTAGAGGTAGTGAAAGAAAATTGCGGTTTTACTCAGGTCTGTCTGGTAGAATTAGGACGGTGTATCTTTCAGTCCATGTGTAGTTTCGCTACTGTCTAGTAGTTTCACTGCTAGTGCATTAGTGTGGTTTTCTAATTTTCTTAAGCATTTGGCATTCAACTTTTTATTTCACTGAACACTGTGTTTATTTGTAGATCTTCATGGATCCCATGGCTGTTCCACAGTGTCCAGACTGTCAATGGGGTCCACTCATTCTCCTATCCCGGGAGTAAAGCGGCTGGGGCGCGAAGCTGACCACTTACCTCCATTTACTAATCACTTCCCCTTACATCTTCATGTCGTGGCACTTAATTAACCGCAAGGACAGTTTTACCCTTTCTACCTTCTTGAACATCACAAGCTGGAACCGGAAGTTCTGCCATCAGCACTCGGTCTTGTCGTCAGTCCGGTCGTGATTCTCTAGATATGGGCAAGACACGAAGCCCGTCAGATAAGGAATCGCTGCGGCACAAATGTACACGTGACAAAGACTTGTGTTCTTTCTCATTATACAGCGAGTTTTCTACACAACGCAGCCGTGAGCCAGGAGCGTGCCACAATTCCGCCTGGGTCGCGCTCCAAAAAGAAAATCTCGCTGTATAACAGACTTGTTTTGTTGCGACTCATAACAGCCTACAAATAATGGTCGATTTCATGTTCATGGCAATCAGTTTGAGAATTAGACCCTATCTCAGCATCGAGATCACCACTACAACTACAGAAACGCGGAACTGTATCTTTCTTGTCGAATCAGAATATGACCGGGAAATTATCACTGCCCGTCATGACAGTGTTCTCTGTAGCAGTAGTCACTTTTGAAACACCTGAACTTGAAAGAAGTTAACGATTTTATATTAGCCAAGAATGATATTTAGACAAATCAAGGGAAAATGCCAGTGAAAGCTAGAGCTTCATACTTTTCACTTTCCACGTGATATTGTTTGGGTGACTAATTCAAAGCGGATGAGACGGAGCGACATGTAGCACGCATGGGTGCAGTAAGATATTTGAACACAAGTTTAGATGGAAACGCTGAAAAGAAGAGATGGCTTAGGAGAGCTAAATGTATATTGGAGGTTAATATTAAAAGGGGTTTAGAAACTTACAAAGCCGTGCATGAAGAGAGGAAATCACATCATTCCCTTCCGGGATGAGATTCGTGTAGTCTGATAGATAATGTCGATGTTTGGGAGAAACCTGTTGCCCCCATTTTCTGCCCTCAATGTTGTGGTAACAATGACACATATATAACAGAGTACATGGCGTCACATCCCAGAAAACCGCGATGTTAACATTCACAGCCTGAAAACTCCAGATCTGATATACAAGGTGGTTCAAATATGAGCGGGACTGATTGGTGTATAAACAAGCCGCACTGGGCAGCAGCTGTGCGACCTTGAGAGAGTGAAGCCACAACCTTCACCCTCCCTCCTGCTCGTGTTAGAACCTGTTCAGTCCTGTCTGGGAGTTGCTAGAGTGATGAGCAAACAGAAGGTACCGCGGATGGTGGAACAACCCATTGTGATCAAATTCCTCGTTGGAGAAAACGTCATGTCCGCTGAAATTATTGTATTATAGCGGAAATTTTGAAGCTCCTCCTGATATAGGCTGATAACTTCTTCATCACCATACAACTTACTCTTTATTCGGTCGAAACGCTCGTCTCAGAACTTGGTTCTGAGTCGCCCTCTCTACGAGTGGCAGATAAGTTCACACCACATTAACGGAACAGTTCGCAACTACAGGTCTTTGAAGGAAGATGCAATATTCTGAACTGAGTGATAGTAAACATTTCTCCAACTTCTGTTATCTTTTGTTATCCATTTCCCGACACTCTCACTATCTCAGACTCTGTAGAGATGAACGACAGAATGTTTGGTGAATAATAAATTGAAAGGGATTTGGAAGGAAGCGCCTGCCGTCTGATAGGAGCACTGTTCCTGCGCTTTCCTCGAGGGATTAAGGAGAGCCACAATGAACCTCAGACATGACAGTCGGTGTTGAGGCAGTGATTCGAACCTAGGACCTCCCGAATACGGGTCTAGTTACAGCTACACCAGCCTGCTCGGTCAATCCTTTATTAATTTGGCCATAATTCTGATTTGTTGCTGGCATGGTCAGTTACATGAGCTTTCATTTTGAATTTAGAGAACCGAATGTATTTTTGTGTCCGAGGGCAGTAGACGTAATTAAGCAGGGTTGCTCTTTAGGCGCAGTGAACTCAGCAGGACATTAGCAAGGCCTTGGGAAGGTCTCTTAAATCAGCTGTGAGTATCAAGATTAGTTTGCATGGTCAGGAGCTCTAAGACGTAACAAAAAGAAAGATTGTCACTAGTATTTCTGAAAGACAAGGGATCCCCCCCCCCTCCGAAATGGTGAGTGACTGTTAATTGCACAAATAGCCTTTCGGTTCTTTGCGTTTACCACATAAAAAGAATTCATAGTCCTGTCTCTCGTCATGTTTTTGATCTCAAAACGTACTCGACGATTCTGAACGATATTTAATTTTCCGAGAGGGGACACAAAATATGCTTCCTGGTTTCATATTACCAGCTCATTGTAACTTCTGCTTTACAAGAAATCCATGTGTAACTTAACCCGTTTTCCCAATAGTGGCTCATTGAGAACAAATTTCGTTCCATACTGTAGCCGCCCGCCGACGCACAGCTGACACGACTATTGCTCGAGATGAGTTCTTATCTCAGGGACACACGGGAGTGGAACACACTTCGAGGTTCATGAATTACGGAGTCTCCAGAACACACCGTGTATTGAAGTCTTAATTTAAATTTTCGTGCAGTGATCAATCTTTACATTAGTCCTCCAAGCTAGCCGCTCCGTCACTCTTTACACCAATTTGCCCCCAGCTCACTGACCATACACGTCACTCGCTAGCTACCCTCATGTAACTCACTTCCCTGTTCTGCGTCTCCATTTTCAACTGTCCACCTCCGCTCCCTGTAAACAACTGCCCTCTCTTTTAAAGTCCCCCAGTGGGCATAAAGCAAACCAAGAAAAATAACAAGAGAAAGCCAAGGGTCGAGCCTGGCATCTGTCCTACATTCGTATTTTTCGAGATGCCCATCATAAACCTTTTTAGGTCTTCAAGGCACACGAGCAGGGAACCCAAGACCCCTCCTGGCCGGTCTCGCACAATGTCAGCCCATGGGTTTATGATACTAGGAGCAAACTGGCGACGTTAGGGACAACAGTGACACCCTAAGTCTAAGGAAGACAATAGTTGAATTACAACTACACGGTCCCGGGATGGTATCTCGCCGGAGGAGCGTCTCTCATGGTGTGAAACAGTGCCTCAATTCGTCATGCCCTTAATTAAATAATTTTAGCGAGGGACGTACGGTTACAATACGAAATAAACTCACGCATGGGCCTATACTCCTCTCTATATAAAGGTAATGTAACGTCTGCTCCTTTTCAGTTGCAAAGAGTTCACAGGAACACCGACGGAGGCGCCACTTTTCGACTTGACAGTGGCTATAGGAACTCGCATTGCTAATATAACGAAGTTGTCAAATATTCATTTAACCCCCATATTTTTTATGCTTAACGAAATGCGGTTAGGAGAGTTCATAATTCTATGCAGTTTAGTAGATATGCTCTTAATTGTGCCGATAAACAACACCTGTATAACAGGTATACAAACTTTATCAGACGGCCAGACTTCAGAGGCTTAGGCATTCATGAAAGAATAGTATTGAAATGGATCTTAGGCAAATACAATGTAAGGATGCTGGCTGAACTGATATGGTTCGAGTTGGAGTCCAACGGCGAGTTCGTGAAAACACGGCAATTATCCTTCATGTTCCATAGAAGACAGGACATTTATTTGCCAGGGTAAACAAATATCAACCGTTTTAAAGCGGATCTGCACTGTGCATTTAGATAAGATTACTGTCTTTCCGGTTGGTACTTCGTATAATCTGATATGTAGAAACTTTAATACCTATATATTGTGCAATACTACGCGGCGTCACATATACGAGTACTCACGGTCGTGAGAACCTCAGATATCTCGTATGGAACTGATCATCAAGACGAGGGACGGGCTACACGTTTGAAAGCGCACACTCCAAACAAAGTTGTACCTTCCCAGCCTTATTGCTAATGATGTTTATACACAATTTCATAACTTTGTTTCCGCGTTTCTTCTGTCTTGTTGGGCCATTGTCTCACGAGAAGTCCGTCCTGCGGGTGAGAAGCCGAGAGAAACCCACTTCCTTACTGAAACTCTCTACATGAATATGTTCTGGGACTGTCTGAGGTTTCTTCCTCCAGAAAGACATTTCCGAGGATTCGTCGGTCATGTGACAGGAACAGGTTCCACAAAGGGGGGTGATGTAAAAGAAATAACATCAATATCGAAGCTGGATTCGAATTAGAAGAGAGACACTTCCGTTCATAAGGCCCTTAGTGCCTTTCCATGGACTTTCCTATGTTACTTATTATTATTATTATTATTATTATTATTATTATTATTATTATTATTAGTCTGTTCTCTGAATCGTCTTCCTTCTGGAGGGTCCACGAAATTTAGGGTGAGTTGTAAAATATTTACGAGAAAAGTGTTGCGATGATTAAACCAAGGATACGTATGTATCAATTGTGTCAAATAGTAAACCGATATGCAAATTTAGCCAGAAAACGTCAAGGGAAGAGGCCGCTTGGGATATAGAGGCATAGATGAAAGCATGTTGTTAAAACTACTCTTGGAGGTAGAGCATTTGTTTGGGTAAACTGAATTTAATAGGCCCAGGATAACGTTGAGTAGAGGACTTCTGCGAACACACAGAGGAAAGTAAACCTGAAAGGTCCAAAAAATGGGAGGTTATCTTGTCTGGCTATTCGGATATCAACTTATTGAGAAATATACTCATTCGTGCACATTGTTCCTATGTTTAGATCTTTTTATTGCGAATAAATATCTTTTTTAACGTTGCAGGGTACGAAACGGAATTTGAAGGAACGACTTTCGGAAATGGCTAAGGAGTTTGGAGCGATGAGTTTTGAAGAGACGTCAGAGGAAATAGCTTCTGTAGAAGAGAAAGGGAAGCCACTGGCACCGAAGCAGCATGTCAAGAGGCTTATATCAGCTGAGCAGAACGCAGAGTTTCAGGAGTATCAAGGTAGTCAGTACAATGTGAATTAGTGTTGTTATGGTAAACTGCTTGAGCCGGACGGTCTGTGACAAAATGGTGGAAATGTGATTTTTGGGCATTTCACTGCCAACTCTGAAAGACTATATGAATTACACGCAATTCAACCTCAAAACATTGGCCAGGTGCCATTGTGATGTGCCTGGTAAAATCCACTTCATGACCTCAGTCAGTTCATGGCCATGTAAAGCTTCAATTATTGCGGTCCTCATATAGCAAAAATAAATAACTCCATAGAGTAGAGTCCATCTTAAAGAAGCTTCTGGTTGCTGAACTGGCGCGGAAATTCCCTGAGTGTTAAGGAAACCGAAAATTCGTCATCATCATAATCATCATCATCACCACTGTTGACTGTCAAGTGTTAGGTTGCCAATACCTCTTCCAAGTCTCGCGGCTAACCCAAGCAAACACTTTCAGATCGTCCAAGACATTTTCTTTCCCAAGATCTGTCTTAGGTAGTCTGTTATTCTCCATCTGTTCATTTCTCTCAATATCCTCTACAGCAAACTGTTCTCGGATTAATTTACTGGGCATATCATCTTTTAACAGATATGTGCATTACAGGCCCAGTATCATTTTCACAAAAGCCTGCCACTGGATTCTACCCTGGTTCAGTTGGATCTAGTCCTGACATTCAGTCTCTTGTTTTTAAGATCCATTTTAATATTACAAGTACCTCATCATGCCTAAGCCTCCCAATCAACTCTCCTCCTTAGGTTTTCTATGCAAAATCTTATATGCATATCTCTTCATTCTATCAGATGTGTCAAGACAGTAAAAGAGCAGTTTCCCTACAAGATCCCCATAACTGTTTTAAATGGCTTAGTATTATGTACAAAATATTAGTTTTTAATATGAATATGTTCATATTATATATACATTATTTTGGGAATTGTTCATTGTCATAGGTGTATATAAAGTACATTATATATGGAAGTTTGTCATCAGTTTTAAGTTGGGGAAAAGACAGAATCCCCATAATATTTCTTTTTCTTTCAAAAAAGAAACATTTTCATCCCCCCAAAAAACTGGGGCACTTGGTAAAAAACGGGACATGATAAAAAATTAATAAAGGCAAAAAATCTAGTATAATACATCACATATTAAACACTGAGAAATTTAAACATACAAAATGAGTTCAAGATTATTATTTTAGAAATACAGCACTTAAACAGATTCATACAAAAATAAAATGCAGGGCTTACTCTGTGAAAGCTTTCTCAATTTCACTTTAATATTTATCAGATTTGTAAACCTGTTTCAGAAATATTTTCTTTTTCGATATTTGGGAAAAGAACCCTGAACAAGAGAAATCTTTAAAGTGGGTCTTCACAATGGTTAAGGCGTTCACTGTTTCTATTTTAAGTCAGTTTTTTCTACTGACCATAATGCGTTTCTTATTGAGAAAACACGTTCAGTCTGGGCATTAGATCCAAGCAGTGCCAAACGAAAACTAATTGACGTTTAATGTTAAGAGCATTTGTGTTCTCCTTTGTAAAATGAACCAACATTTCGCACAAATTTTCAGTAACCTTTTGGTTATTTTTGTTTCATTTCACACTTCCAGTTTTCTTTCTCAGTATTTTTTGCACATGTAAACTCATAAACAAGCCATCTTCCTTCAGTGACAAGTCAGGTACCACAGTCTTCATGAAAACTTAGTTAAGTTGTAAACTCTTTGGGTACATATAGTAATAAACCATTGCATTCCATAAAGAGTGATATATTTCCTGACCATTGGGTAGCTGCATAGTTTTGTAGGAAGATTCTGAACTGTGGAGATGTCTGTTGCCTTTTCACAGGTGTGATGGGGAGACCGGGGTTGGACTTCCCTGTGCTGCCCAGCATTCCCAAAACAGGCTTCAGCTGCCGTGAAGTGAAGAGTTCTGGATACTATGCTGATCTGGACACTGATTGCCAGGTAAATGAATGCGTAATGCTGAGGTTGTTATCCTTTGTCTGGAGTCCTCTTGATTCAGTATTGAAACAAATTAATGGATTTGGACTGGGATCTACACTGAAAGCTGTACAGTGTGTCCACAAAGTCCCTTCAGGGATTTGAAAAATTGTGGCGCACAAATAAATTTAGCTAGCCACATGCGGTTTGTGACAGATTATAGTGAAACTATGGAAGTTTTTTACTGACCTCAGTAGACCAGTAGACATCGATGTGGGCTCCCTTGGTAGCACGGAGAAAGTCCAGACGATATTCGAGCTCTTACCATGTTCTGTGGAGCATGTCCACTGGAATAGCCGAGACTGCATTCCTGATATGGGTCTTCAGGTCATCAAGTCTGTTAACTGGTGTTCGGAACACACTGCTCTTGACAGAACCCCATAGGAGACAAGACATTTCCAGGAAGATGGATCGGTCAAGGTAGTCCAATGCCTTGGCCTCCACATTCACCAGACATAACACCACTGGATTTTTTCCTGTGGGGTTAGGTCAAGAGCAGTCTGTTCCGAACACCAGTTAACGGACTTGATGACCTGAAGAACTGTATCAAGAATACGATCTCGTCTATTCCAGCGGACGTGCTCCACAGAACCTGGCAAGAGCTTGAATATTTTCTGGATATTCTCCATGCTACCAAGGGAGCCCACATCGAAGTCTACTGAGGTCAGTAAAAAACTTCCAGAGTTTCACTATGAACTGCCGAAAACTGCACATGGCTTGCTCAATGTGTTTGTGTGCTACAGTTTTTCAAAGTCCCAAAGGGACTTTGTGGATGCACTGTATAATATGAATTTTGGTTCATGTTGGTCAAATGCTGTATGAATTCAACTTCATAATGAATGTAGAATCAGACTTTGGTAATGTTCTCAAGTACTGGCTTAATTGTACAAAAATTAATGAGGGATAAAATATATGAATCTCACTAAGATCTACAATTGTTGTGTGAATCATTTTTAATGTGGTGAGGTAGATTCTCATAGTGGTGAGTACCAAGATGGTAGTCTTTTGGAATGTGACACTATGACACTGTGTAGTTTAGTGGATAGGTACCAGCTTTTCAGCACACTCTGCTTTCTCTGTCTTCAAGGTACAAATATTGGTACATATCTACGGAACAACACAGCTTCACATACCAGAAGACTATAAACTAGATTGTTCAGTGTGGTATACAGTATGAGTACTTAACAATATACAAGAAACAATAATGTCTGATATTCACAGTAAATGTATTGATTATCTTTGCAAGAATATGCAGTAAATGTAACGTTTATCTTTGAAAGAATAAGCAGTACATGTAGTGACTAGCTTCACAACCATATGCTGTAAATTAATGTCAGGGTAGGTCATTTATGAAAAGTGGTAAAGAACATACACGTATTTATGAAGTTTGTGTAAGGTCTAATGAATCTGAGCATATCTTCGCCCTCTTTGCATTGAAAGGTGGACTGTGTAATATATGTTGCATCAAATGATTTTATCAACAACACATCATGGAAGGAATTGGTCCTGCTCCAGCAGTCTCCTCAGAAGGCTGAGAAATACCATAAAAATAGCCAGTTTCATGACTCATGATTGTTTATTACTTAATTATGTAAATGATTCAGTTTTAACTATAGAAGTTACATGACTTCTAATGAGGCAATCATTTTCTATGATGAACTGATAATGGTATAGCAAGAAGCAGTTGTGTTCAATTTTATGTACAATTTGAAACTACCTTTTAGGCACAGTGACTGGGACTGAGGCTGAGACTGAAACCCACTAAATGACAAAATCAGAGTAGCTCGCCTCATGGCCAGGATTAAACTACATGTGACACTTCATTTATTTATTTATTTAATGATAGTTACAAGATGTTAGATGATTGATATGATTGCTTATGCATTGTACAGTTTAAGGAAGGCATCAATATTTGTATGGTGAGAGCAAAATAGTCTTCAGTCAGGTCAGTCTGTCTAAGAGTGAAGAACTAAACCTGGCATAGTACACACTATTATATACCAGAATTGCTCTGAGGCAGTTTCTTCTCTGAGTATTAGTACTTTGCATTTTATCTGCCAATCACTTTTGCATCAATATTCCATGTTTACTGTTTCTGCTCCATAAATATGCAGTTGGCCTAACTATCCAGCACAGTATCACAGTCTTGGTTTCCTGTTGGGACTTACCCGCAGAGGCAGCACTTGGCTGCATTTAGCATACATCCTGTAGAAGTACAAATCAGGATTGCCAGTCACACACACAACCTTTAGACTGGATATTTTTATATAATGGCTTCTGGTTTTAATCTTGGTTGCTCTACTGACTGAGGCTTCTGTGGTTATATTCAGTCTCCGCATGATATTGCCAGGATAATACTTTCAAAATATGCCAGAACCATCTCCGTCCAAATCCTTATCATAATCATCTTCCCATGTTATTTGATACTGTATAACTTATGTGTAGTTGAAAATATTGTATTACATTTACCAAGAATCAGTGAACTGAATGCTTTCATTTATCTATGGTACTTGAGCTGTACTGAGCTAGTTTTATCTCCAAATAATTTGGATTTCTCCTGCCAGTCATTATTTTCACCAGTGTTTCATATTCATCTGTCATCATCTGCCTCGTCATGGGCTGGAATATTAAGGTCATTTGGGACCATGGTATCAAGGGACTCATTCTTACTCCAGTACTTTTATTTCATTTTGCATGTGCTACATACTTTTCTCTTTTCTTAATACAGGTTTTCCATATTTGTGCTGATGGTAGGAAAATCTCTTTCCTGTGTCCGAATGGAACCATCTTCAGGCAGTCACATTTGATTTGTGACTGGTGGTGGACTGTGGACTGTGCCAGCTCAAAAGAACACTATGAAGAAAGTGCAGAGCTTCTGGCCAATGACCAGAAAATTTACAGAGCAAGATCTGATGCTTTGTCTAAATCAAGGGCCAGACAACATGTAAACCGGAAACCGGGAATCATTCGAGATTTTGAGGGTACAAGCGCGAGTGTGACATCTTACAGTGCAGAGCCAGTACAACATAATGCAAGAATACAAGTCCACAGCAAGGTGATTAACCCAAGAAAGCAGCTCCCAAATTCCACTCCAAATCCTGGATTCCTATGGTCATCAGAAGAATTCCAGGCTGGAAGCAGCATGGAGCAGGCAGAACAGAGGCCAATTCATGCCTTTCATCCACCATATCTGGAATCTCGCCCAAGACGTCCACAATATCTGGGAAATCAACAAAACAGACAGTTTGAAAAAAATGACCAACCTGACAAAGTTGAACGGTTCCCACAAAATGTTCCTCTGGCACCCATAGCATCCAAACAGAAACATATCTCACAATTCAAAGAGTTCTCAGAAAATCAACCTCCCCTTGAAGTTAGTCCCAGGCCACAACAGCTAACCATCACAACTCGCAGACACAGAATTGGCCAGTTCAGCCACAATGGACAATTTGAACAGGGCCTACCAGATCAGTATAAACCACTGGTGAGGATAACACACAATCACCAACAGCCACGGCAACAAAGTCAACAAGAACCACAATTTCGTCCAGAACCACGGATACTCTCACAAAATAAAGAAAGAAGTAATGGCACAAGGACTTACAACCATATCAGATTCTTTCCAACTTCAGAAATAGAGGGTCAACTACCAGCAGAGACAGGATCATTTATTAACAACAGAGGAAATCATCTGAATGGGATTCAGCATACAACAGATAGACAGAGAACTTCACAGAATGCAGTCCAAGAGGTGACATCTAAATCATATGTTGAACTCAACAGGTCACGAACTACTGCAGTGAAAACTTTATCACAAATGACGTCAGTTGTACCTCAGATAACAGACAGAGGGATAACAGATCTGTCAAACAATCAATCTTCTTCAGAATCAATCACGGAAGGACATGTTTTTGATGACAGTGATGGGTTTCAAGAACCACAAAATGAGGGGCAGTACAAAAATGAAGATTTATTTCACCTCCATGACAATTCGACAAAAAGCGATATAAATGATGACATTGTATTTACAGAATCATTAGTGAAACATAGTAATAGAGATACCTCTGTCTTTGGAGATGACTTTAAAGATGAATCTGCTAAAATAGATCTCATCAAAGATCTGGGACTTTCTAAACCACCAACTGATATTCAGTTTAAGAATGAAGATTGGCATGGTGGATATGAAAATTCAGAAATACAAGATTATGTTCAACCTACTGAATCACTGCACCTTCTAGACATATCTAAAGCAACCACAGATTTGTCAACTAGGGAATATGCTGGTGATGTCACCTCTACTGGTCCATCTCAAAGTTTGTCCACTGGAAAGACACATAGATTCCGAACTTCTACAACAGCCCTGACTCCTGTACAGAATATGGCGAATAGTACCCAGAAACCAGCTGGAGAAGAAGTGCTTAATATTAAGAGTACATCCAAACCACACACAGTAATATCCAACACACATTATGGTGAATCAACTGGGCCTCCCAAAGAATTAACTAGAAATGATGCCACTGGCATAAGACAACCAATGAGATCTTGGCCAAAAAGTGCACCAATCTCATCAACAAGTGCACCAACTAAAGTCTCTTTTACAACTGAAGAATCTGTAGCCAAGAAACTGGAGCCAATATTTATTGAAATTATTCACCGAGGCACATCAGAACCTCCTGTTTTGAAAACTTACACAGTTGAGGAATTGGAGAAAAGAAGTGGTGCCACAGATGAAAACAGTTTGTCATCTATCAACCCTGAAATGTCCACTACCCTATCACTTTCACCATCACTGGTTACATCTTCCAGAAGAGTAAGACCACGAAAAAAACTTGTTTCCCTGACACCAGTTCCTGATGTCACACCCCCTAAATTAACTACACCCATTCCACCCACCACTCTCCATGTTACTTTTCCCAGAAAGTTGCACTCACCTGAGTTAACAATGACTTCTTCAAACCCATATGACAGAAATAAAATGAAAAGTGATGATGAACCTCAAAATTCATCAACATTTAGAACAAGGTCAAAGTCCCTGTATACTGAACATACAACACCTGTAAGTCCTGTGACTTTATCAAGAAGAGTGCAGCCACCCTTTGAATCATTGATTCAATTTAACAGTGGTTCCTCCATACCAGTAACTGCTTCTGCAGTGGGACCAGGCAGGCAGCAACATAAGACTGACACAGCAAACCAAGAAGCTTCCACAAGCTTTCAGGCAATAACAAATGGTAGACTTCTGAATACTGGTTCACACAGACTATCAGAGGAAACAAACTTTACACAGAACATCATGGTATCAACTGAACCCTCAGCTGCAACAGTAAGAATTAGTTCTGAACCCACCAAAAATTCAACAGTGTATATTAAAGTACGACACCAAACAACAAGTGAACCTAGCCCTGTGACAAATCTAAGGCAACGTCTTTTATCAAAGAAGCAAAAGACAATGACTGAGTCTGTTAAAAATACCACACCATTCTTAAATACATCTTTGGAGATGGGAATCTTGGTTACAGAACCAACTGTTGGTCCAGACATTCCTTTATCATTTGCACTGAAGGAAAAACCAACTTCTTCTCCACAGTACAGAATGAGGGATGGCCTTACAATTCCAGCATCATCAGGACCATCAACTCTTCATTCACTTGCAGTTTATTTTGCCACACAAGGCAGAAACGAGGAGACTACAATTCAAACCTTAACTGGTTTTAATTTTAAAAAGCACAAAGGAAAGGGGGAAGAGCCTACAACTGAAAGTGTACCTGTAACATCATTCACCATTCAGTATAGTTCAGCAATAGAAGGAAATGAAACAGACACTTCTGTAGTAGCTCCAAGTTTTTTAACAAAGTCAACAAGGGATTCATATTCTGAGTTATTTCCTAATACTAATGGAGATCAGAGCTCAGCAGTACAGGAACAAGTGAGATCTATGGCAATGACAACAGAGAAATCTGATATCAAATATTGGAAAACGACCCATTCTTCACACAATGAACTTAGAAACGAGCTTTTAGACAAGCTGGCTGAAATATCTGAAATGGAATTGAAAACATCAAGTGAAAAAACAGATGCTTCCTCTCAAAGAGAGGTGTCACATTCAGATACTGAAGACTTGCTGCAGGGTACTGACTCAAGAGACTTACGAGAATTGGCTCAGATTTTCAGTCATGCCCTCTCTGCCTATTTGGAAGATCCAGAGGAGTTCAAGAAAGTTCTTACTCAGATTAGACCCAAGGATCCTTCATCTATTTCCATAGATGATGTAAAACCGTTTGAGGTCAACCAACTTCAGAGTACCACAATAGGATCAGTGAGTCATAGCCCTTCTGTACCCCTGACAACATCAAGTACTGAATACTCTTCAGTTACCCAGGAGGACGAAGAAGTGTTAGACTTTTCTGATGTTTCCAAAGTTTCTAGAAGGAAGTCAAAAACAACAACTTTAATGCCTCCATATTCAAAATATGTTAGTACAGAAAAATTGAAAGATTTAATCTCAACATCTTTTGGAAACGCTGCTGCAGTGGTAACATCTCAGAATAACGGGGTAACACAAACTATATCAAAGTCACCTTTCACTGAAGCATTAGAAATTGCTGACCTTAAACCACCAGAGGAAGGTCTTCAGAATGCACAGTCTACATATTATATATTTCCCAACCAACAAAATCCAGCAAACACTGTTACTGTCTCTTCAGAAGTGTCAGAAAATCCACAGGCAGCTGAAGAACTTGGAGAGGATTACACTTTGCCACCTGGGACTAAGCAGTATCGTGGGCCTGGATATGGTCCACAGGTAGGAGAAGTGAAGTTTGCCCCAACAGCTGGGGGAGTTAATGATGCAAGCCGGCCCCGTTATGGAGGTTTCCAAAATAACTCGAAAGGAACCGCTAAAGAGGCTTCAAATGAATATACTGTGGTTCCTGAAATTAAGTATCATGTAAGATCCACAGAAAAGCCTATTTCAGCAACACAAAGCGTTGAAACAGCTTCAACAATGGAAGTTCATGCTAAAATTGGAAATATCTGGAATACTTTTGTACCACAAGAACTGAATAATTTAGCAGTTGGTGGTATTTCCCAGACTTCAGTTGAAAACATTCAGAAAGAACATATCCAGCCTCAAAATTTAATGCCACATTCAAAACAAACTGTACTTGGATCTAGTACAACTACTTTCACACCATTGCGAGCTAGTCAGCCTTCAGATGCTCTAAATCTTGAACGAACCTGGAGCTCTATGGGAAATATAGTTGATGCTTTAACAATAAATCGTGAATTGAGTGAATCGGATATTGAAGGAAGAACATCATCAACCACTGTGCAGAAAATAATATCATCTGTTACAACAACACAAATACCTGCTTCCTCCACAAAATCAGGGTTTAGAACTCCACACAGATCATCTTCAGTCTCTGACATTTTGAAACCTACTGTTACTGTTGGGGATGGTGAAGATCCAACACCTATTCTGCCTGACACTCATGGCACATCTAACAATGGTGGAATTTCAACAAAGTCTCGATCAGCACAGGAAAACAGACATTCTCAATTGGGATTTGAAGCTGAGAGTACAGATTCTCATGAGAACTCAAGTGATGATCCAAATCCCAAGGAAGAAGTACAACCATTAGATATTTCACATGTAACATTTTATTCAGAGAAGATAAAACCACAGCCTCCATCTTCAGCTTCCTTAATCCGAGAAACAAAATCTAGGAAAAACAGGGTAGAAGCTTTGATTAGTTCTTCAACAAGTAGTTACATACCTGGAAATGCCTCAATATCTAATAAAAATTCAGAAGGAATATCAATAAAAACACCTCTTAAAGATACTCCATTCAGAAATGAGCCAACATCCAGTACACAAACATATTCATCAACAATGGAATCAAAACCCACCATGACTACACACAACATGGCCATGAAGAATGGTTTTTTCCCTATTCAACAACGTTCAAGAAGTTATCAAGAGCCACATATGCTGGGACAAGGACTGATAAAGAATGAAACATTAAGAGAAGCATCAGAAATGCCACTGTCATCAAGACAATCTGTGCCTGCACCTTTTACAGAAACATCATTCCCAGCTGAGACTACCATTGCTTCATGGAAGCAAGAAATACAGCAGTCTGAGCAAGATGTTTCTAATGTGAACTTACAACCTGTACAGAGTTCAATGCGAGTGCCCATTTCTTCTTCCATTCCTCGATCAAGAGGGGCCTCCCCTTCAAGGAGAGCTAAAAATACCACAATAACACCGCCTCCTTATAATGGAAGAATCAATGTAGAATTTCTCAAAGATGATTCCCTTTTTGTGCCAAACACATCCATGTCAACACTTACTTTGCTAGCCAGTAGAGATTCAGTAACTTTTTCTCCAGACAATAATGCATTATCTAGAGGAGCAAAGTTTTCTGAGAAACAGAAATCATTAAAAAAGGAGTTCTTGCCAACAGAGCTGAACAATGCATCAAATTCTTGGCAGTCAGTCAGAATAAGAACCATGATCCCTTCTGCAGAGAGTTCAAATTCATCCACTTCTCCCAATGTATCAACATTCGCAAATATATTCTCATCTAACAGATCCCTCACATCTATGTCCAGAACAAGTTTAGAGACAGATTTAAACGTTGATGATGGAACCACAGATCAGTTACAAGCCTTAGAAAACTTGCAAAAAATTTTATTCTTTGCCAATTCTACCACAGCTGAAGAGGGGTCCATGTATGGTAATCTGAATGAATCTAATACCCTTTCTCTGATCAATGCAATGAAACAGGCTGTAACCAATTCAACAGTTCAACGTTTGGTTCTGTTATTAGTGAGTAGCTTTAGGGAAAATGCACCACAAGAAACTCGGTTGCAGCTCATAAACGCACTTCTAAGAATGCCAGTTGATCACAGACTGTCAGAGGCACAGCAAGACTCAGTATCAACTTTACTGAAAGAAAGTATGGAATTTTTGTCAGAAAAATCCAGTGAGAGAGATACTGCAACCACTGTGTCTGGATGTAAGTCACATCCAAGTTCGATCCTTGAAACATCCTCTCAGAATTCCATGATTACACAGCCTAACTTCGAGAACAAGCATCTGATCACAACTGACGTTCCTGCAACAAAGTTCCGAACTCGTGGGAGGAAGAATCCTCAGGTTGCAACTCCTCAAGTGCATCCGATAACAACAACAACAGTTCACAGTAAAGGCAGGAGATTAGTGAGAGTCAGAGTCATAAGTGAGAGACCTCGGACAGTACCCAGCACGACATCATCAGTGGAGGAAATTTCACAGCCTGAAGAAGGTGCCTCACTGCCACAATCTGACACAAGAGCTGTAGAACTTCTCCGGTCCCTGTATTCCTTGGCTTCAAGATGGGGTTAAATCTTGTCCTTGATGAGAAATTTTAAAGCACTGAATAGTACAGTCCTGGTCCTAGAAACTGCACTAAGTTCACGTGATATATTGATGTAAGCAAATCTATACTAATTTTTTACTGATGGATGAAGTTTCCTTGATCATGACTGTACACCCCTACCACATAATGTGATTATAGTGAATTGCGGATCATAATGCATAATTCATGTGGTACAGATCACCCCAATTTATGTTGCTGTTTGAGTCAGATTGATGCTTATTGTTTGGCACCATGTAGTGTTCCTGCATATTATCTAATTATGCATGAAGCTACATGATAATGTGCTCTCTTAAACCTTAATAGGCATGTGCAAAGAGATTATGGAACTGAGCCATAAGTGGCATACAGAAGCAAAAATAATGGTTTTATCTCTGCTACTGTGGATCCTATATATGATTAGAATCAGCAAAGATGGAAAAATAAATTAATTGAAGATGGTTGTATCATCAGAACATCTACACTTAACAAAAACTGAAACAAATTTTCAGACATATTTTTTTTTTATTATTCGAATTGTTTCCTGTAACATTTGAAACATATGAAACTGTAAGGCCACCTGTACAATTTCACTCTGAGACCCTTGTGGTCTGAGTGTTTGTGGTATTACTTATACATTGCATGTTTCAGCACAATGCTTACCCTGTTTCTGCCATAGTCACCTAACTGATTGCATTTTCATCAAATGGACCAGTTTCTTTCATCTCGTTGAAAACAAAATTCCTTCTGCAATGAGCAGTGAATATTCATCTCATTGTTACATGGAAATGGGTTGCATAAGGACAATTTCAGGTGGGTTCAGATTGGGAACTTGTATAAAATACGTATGAAATTGTACACAACATAAATTTTTGGACAGATATATGATTCATTCTACAAAAAATTGCAGGTATAAAGAGTTTACATTCAGGAACATTTTTTATGGACATGATATCAGATGAAGGAAGAATTGTAGAATGTAGGCACAAACTTTTTAATCTAAATTGCTTTCTGAAGGAAACAAAGTATGCTTACAAGAAAGTCACAATTTGTAATTTTCTGGAGTCATTAATAACAAGATGGGTGATATAAGAACATGTGAAATGGGAACAACACTAGCATCATGTAATATGGGGCTTTGAAATGACATATGGTAATGGAGCTTGACAAAATATGAAGCCCCTGTTGATGTAATTCGCTTACAGAATAAAGAAACGGTGTCTGTATTAAATCCATGGGTCCTATTCAACTTTCATTCTTTGTGGCAATATTTATTGATTCACTGGAACTAGGAATGTGAAATATGGTAAGGAGATAGGTCACAAACATACCTACAAATTCTGTATGAAATACTGTTTTAACATATTGCAGGTAGGCAGTGGATCAATAAGCACATTTCCTAGGTAACACAGTCAACTATAGAACTTGAGTTACTAGAGTTTTGATACACACAGTGTAACTTTAACTGACTGAAAGCCAGTATCCATGAAAACAAACCGTTCAAAGCACAGTAACAGCTAAGAACGCAGTAAGAGTAGTGTTGAAAGAGGTGACTTATACAAGGTTTGCTGAAGTATTATAACAATAGAGCTTGCCAGATGAATCATTTAATTATGGAATTAATTAATTATGGGATTACAGATTTGCAGAATTACTAAATTATGGACTTAAGGAATTGGACTTGGCTTTGTGCAGACTTAAATCACCCAATTTATACAAGGAGCATCCATGTGTTGTGAAGTGTTGAAGACTTTTCTTTATGTGTTATTGTTCCAGTAATCTTTTGAAGTGTTATAATTATTTGTAGTTACGACTTGTGAACATCCAATAAACCGAGTCACCTATTCCAGAACCCATTAATTATTAGCCACATAACCAGGATACGTGGCACTATTTATGTCAATAGCATAAACGATGATGAATACAACAACAATAACATAACTCAGTACTTTGTGATATGTAAAGATATTAAGAGGCACTGAGCTTCTTGTTATTGGACTGTATCATCCACAGTGCCTGTCAGTCAGTTAGTTCTAAACAAGAAGCAGACTGAGGTTCATCAAAATTTAAAAAAATCTCTTCTCATATTTTCACATTAAGTTGAAAAGTTACTTCCAATGATTGACATTTTTCCAGCAGGACAGCTACCTGTAACTTTGCTATTTTAAGCAATACTTGAATTATTCTTGGTTTATTTAATTATCAAGCGCTAAGAGTATATAGAGGTTCTATATGGGTGTGAAACTTGGTCTCTGACATTAAGGGAGGAACATAGACTGAGGGTGTTTGAGAACAGGGTGTTGAGGAGAATATTTGGACCAAAGAGAGATGAAGTGACAGGAGGTTGGAGAAAACTGCATAATGAGGAACTTCATAACTTGTACTTTTCTCCAAGAATAATTAGAATGATCAAGTCAAGGAGGACGAGGTGGGCAGGTCATGTAGCACGAATGGGGGAGACGAGTAATGCGTATAGGATATTAGTGGGAAAGCCAGAAGGAAAGAGACCACTGGGAAGACCAGGGCATAGGTGGGTGGACAATATTAGAATGGATCTTCGAGAAATAGGATGGGATGATATGGATTGGATAGATGTGGCTCAGGATAGGGACCAGTGGAGGGCTCTTGTGAACACGGTAATGAACCTTCGGGTTCCATAAAGTGCTGGGAAATTCTTGAGTAGCTGCAGAATTGGCGGCTCCTCCAGAAGGGCTCAGTTTCATGAGTAAGTAAGTAAGTAAGTAAGTAAGTAAATAAGAGTATATAGCAAATGGTAAGATGGTAATAGGGCGAAAAGACAATAATAAATTGGAAAGGATGTGGAAGTTGTTTGGACCTAATACAGTTTCTTTGAGGGGATTGAAAAAGACCAATAGAAACTTCAGCATTCATAAATAATCTCTGGGATCAAGATGTGAGCACAGGGCTTGCAGAGTAAGAAGCAGGATGGCAAAATACTTGACCACAATGTTAGGTAGACCTGCCTGATAAATGAATTCAGTGTGACACTCTAGAGCAGTGGATTGTTCTGAGAAATATTCATCATAAATTTTGTATTTGAATATTGCATCATATGTTTTCTATTAATTCTGATTTGGTGACTGTTAATTTTGGCTCTATTGTTCTGAGTTTTAAGCTTATGTACAACCTCTTTATTAATGGTCACAACACAACAAATATCAAGGTCAGTGCCCAGCTACAGCTCTGCTACACGTTTCGGCTATCAGTAGCCATCATTAGGCAAATACATGGCTAAACATTAATACACCACTGAACCGCAGTACTATTAAACTGGATACAGTACTATTAGTCATATAAAACACTTGACACAAAAAATACAAACAATCAGATAATATAAAATAGAAGTTATATTGTAAAACAAGAATGAAACTTTAACTGATGTTTTATAACATAGAATCAGTCATTGGTTTTGCAATTTCATACGTTCCCACGGACAAATTGGAAATTTCTATATTTTCTCTTTTTGTATATAAGATTGTATAAGAGGCTCGTGATGTAGATGTTAATATTAATTGTTTAGTTGATGCCTCATCTTACAACAGGATGCATGAAATGAAAATTAAGCTTATGTATTTTCTTCTCCACTTCTACTGTGCCGTTTTCTAATACTGCTGATATTTCATGAAATGACTCTCTTCATTTATTCTTCTTTCTGAATTCTTTGTGTTTGAACTTCAGACATTTTCTTTTTTATATTTCTTTTATTAATCATCATGTTGCAAAGCTTGATCACATCATAGACACATCATTCGGCTCAAATAAATCCCAAGGGACACCCATGGTAGAAAAATGAAATGCTGGAAAAATTATGCTTATATTCATGCACAGGTTCCAGAACACAAAATGTTATCGCTCATCAAGTTACACAAGGAAATGTGTCCACATATATAAAGCAATTAAACAGAACTTCGTGTCACACAGTCTTGTTCTATGAAATTCAGAACTTGTATAGAACGCATGTTCCATGAAATAAGTTCCCAACATAAACACATATTTGTGACTATACACGCCATCCATACTTTCATATAATAACTGATGTAATTGCTGCTAGTGTTCATGTGTGACATACATGCCTCTTTATTTGGTGATATGTCTTTATGTAGGATAAACTATATGTGAATATATTGTTCAGAATTTGTAATATTGTCATGTGTAGGATGGTACGTGTGACGAAAATAATGGTTTCTAGTTCAGATGATTGGATTTATTAGCACTTCGGTTACAAGTTCCCTTAATTACCATTAATACAACGCTACTCTTGATTTCCACAAGTACTGGGATTCGCAGTTTCCATTAGTCATCTTATAGCAATGGCTTCCAATGCAGAAATTAGCACTTCAAATCACTATGAAGTCTTTGTGATATTTCTTCTTCAACATTCTGGAACCTTGGAACTAAAAATTCTTCTGGACTCACTCTTCCAGCTTACGACTGACTTGTAACTGTCCTGAACTGAACTTACTTCAGCATTTGCTTCTCTTATAAGCACTCTGCATAGGCCTCACAGAAAACGTCTCTTTTGTTGACAATGTCACCGCTTTCGTAGCACAGTGATAGAAAAGTTTCCGATATATTTGTTTGTGTGGATGAAAACATTGTTCCAATTTCAATGTTGAGATATGTTGTTACAGAAACTTCCTTTTTCAGGATGGAAATTATCCCTTAAATGAATAATGTTTAGTCATCTGGAGTTTGGATATCGGCCAGTTCAAATCACTATATGCAAGGAGAGGAAGAAATGTATGAAATGAATATTCTCTGATAAACCATAGTTTTATATGGAATATTATATATATGGATTGTCCAAAGGAGTTCACAAAGTAACAGAGTTTCAGAACCACTGGTCTGTGTTGATTCTTCTGCCTCATTTTGGCAAATATTTAACTCTTTTCCATTTCCACTTATTCAATAAATCCAACCTGAACAGAATTGTGTATAACTCAAAATGAACTTGGGCTGAGAAGTTTAGAATACATAGGTCATATAAATGGAATGTCAGTACTGAGGCAACAGAATTATATAATGTAAATGGTGAGGATAATGGCATTCGAGACTTCCTCATTTTAGTTACTATAGGATTCTGATGATGATGTATACCACGCAGAGATACTGGGACGAGTGGTTGAGGCTAGCTCTTTCTAAGGGACCCAACAGATTAGGTGTTTCCCTCACCTGAGGATGGAAACAGATCCAGTTTCCGAAACGTCGTGTTTTTCTTAGTTATCTTAAAAACTAGGATGATGGATAAAGTCCGAAAACCCAATTCCTCATTTTAGCTTACTATTATTTCCCTCCAGCTCTCTGGCATATGTCAACCAGTCCAATATGCTTGTCGCTTCTGTAGGTGTATCAGTGGCTGGACTACTGGAAGGGAATGCATGGAAGTAAGTTGGAGAGGAAAAAAGTAACAAGTTGAAAAAATTTATAAGGGGTTGAAAAATGGGACGTCTTTCTGTGATCTGAGTATAAGATTTAATCTTTTGAGGTGTTTTGAAAAATCAGCCAGAAAGAACTGCGTCTTATTAAATACGAGCAAGCCACAAATAAGCTACAATGTTAAAAAAATATAAAACCTATAAATTCAAAACTGAACACTTCAGTAACAATGCATTTTTCGTAATTATAGGTACATCAGTTGAGGGAATTGGGATTTAAACTATCATCCCTTTTCTTCTCCTGTGAATTAATGAAGGAAATCAGTATAAGAAAAATAATACATACTATGTATTTGATGCATAACTGGGATTCATTAAATTCTGCATAACAGCCATTATGTTGAGGAAGTCTGTGGGGCTTAACAAGGCTCTTTTATAGTGTTTACTGGAGACTCAGAGGATGTAAAGCAGTTGCTTAGAACTGTATCTCTAAGGCCCATATGAACCTTTGTGACATGGTGTTAAAACAGTGTAAATATTAAAATCCATACAAATACAATTCTGAAATAAATTATGCATTAAACTTTTGCATGAATTTTATGTAGGTACTGGTCAAAAGAATATTAGTTACAGATAAATGAAATCGTAATTTTCTGTTAGAAGAAAGTGGCTGAAATAGAGTGGCGACTTTGCTGACAGTGCAACTTTGAGCACAATAAGAGTGGCATCAGATGCTGATGTTTAATGTAATCTGTACTGAATTCTTATTGGAACATAGTCCAAGTGATTCAATTAGAATTAGGCAAATGACTGAGAGAGAGAGAGAGACATTGTAACATATTTTTGTACTATAATATAATTGTGAATAAATCTAATGCTGGTGTTGTTATGTTCGTTATATCTCATCTAATTTTGCCGAAAGAAAGAATTTATGGTAAGAATTTAAATTGTTGAGTTCCCTTTAGATCTTTGTTGAGCATCTAATTATTTTGTACTCAAAGTTTGGATATTATCCATCTCCCAAGATTATTAAAATCATGTCTTTAGTAAACAGTTCTGTTTCTTCCATAATTAAATTATTTTCTGAATGCAGCACACTCTGAAAACTTCAAACCTCCGTCAAAGCTTCAAGTCAGAGCTCATGAATTTTGGGTCTAATAGGCAATGATTGATTATTGACTGTATGTGTATGATATGTACCTACAGGGGTCACTTACTATCAAGATGGTATTAATCATTAGATGCCATTGACCTGTGCACTTTCGTGTCCTGGGAAAATAAAATGGTTTGGAAAGGAATACAGGGCAGAAATAAACTGGAGGTAAACAGAATTTATAAGACACTTCAAGTCTTATGTCTTAAATTGACAGAAAATATTTTACAACAGTATATTAAAATCCCATATCCCATACTGAGGGACACACAGTAGCATAGTTGGTGGAGGCACTATGCTATAAGCTGAAAGGTTGTGGGTTCCTTTCCTGATGAGGTCATTGGATTTTTTCAATTTACCTAATCCTTTCAGCCGCCGGACCGACTCAGCTTCTAACAGAAATGAGTACCGGGAATCTTCCAGGGGGGTAAGGGGTGGCTGGCACGTAAGGCCGACAACCTTACAGCCATCTGTGAACCGATGGGCTGGAAAATGTGAGAGCCTCGACATCTCACAACCCTATGGGTCTTCATGGCCTGTTATAGGGATAGATATAACTTTTACATATCGCATAGTGAGCGTTTCTGGAAAGGGATAACTATTTCCATTGGTTATAGCCTATTTCCAGAAACAAGATACTATTGCCCTGCTGAAGTGTCAGTTACTTCAAACATTGCAAATGAAGATGAAGTTTACATTGCAATAAGATTATTTCCGGATCGCATATGATCTGATAGATAGAAACC